CTTCATTACAGAAAAGCTAGGAACAACACTAGAAGTCCTAATCCACAACATAAACAGTCTTCCCAGTATCCTGGAAAACCTACAACCAGGAGAAGACTTTTATTTTTGAAGAGACAAGAATTAATTGTTTTGTTGTTGTTGTTTTGCCAAACTTACATGCATATTTGTTGTAGATATGGTCTTACCTCTTTTATCTTTGCAAATTCCTTTGCAGGGATTTTAAGAATTTCGCAGTCTTCTTCAATCATCACTGTGTTTGCCTGTGTTTCAGATGCATTCTCAGGTAAAATTTTCAGAGTCCCAAAAGTACTCCACTGTTTAAGCTGTAAAAATACCAAAGGTAACTTTAACTTCACTTCTATTTATTAGTACACATGTAAGGGGGGAATTTACAATTATTTTCTATATCCACTCTACATCACTATGTATTGGATGCAGCCCAAGATAAAACTTCAAAGTCACAAGGAACTCTATTTCTTAACCTGTGAAAATGTTAAAGACTGTAATCAATATAAAAATTATATACTGGTAGAATCTAGATATTCAGCACTCTTCTCCAGAATCATGACTCAAAAGCATAAATTCTTGTACTGTCACACTCAATCACTGTCTAGCTTTCTGATACATAGGAAGTAATTAAAAAGATCACGGTGTGGATCGAACGCACCTTAGTCCACAAACTGACACTGCTGCTCCTCAGTAGATTGGAGAAGATTCTGCCCACACACTTCTCCAATGCTACACAGTGTTTTATTTCATGACTGCTATTGCCAAAGTCATTAATTGTGGATCCCGGTACTACTTCAGTTGTCTCTTCACCTATCATGATGTGGCCTGTTGCTCCAATTGTGAGAATTTTTGTTTTTTTGATATTGAGATGTAATTCCTTTTTCAAGTCCTCTCTTTTAGAAAGCAAAGTTGTATCATCTGCATGCCACAGGTGTTTTATAAGTCTGCTTCTAGAGCTGATGCCATACTCTTCTTCATAGAGTTCAGATTCTCAGATGATTCACTCTGCATATTGATTGACTAGGTATGGAAAGAAGGCACAGCCATTATGTACAGCCCCGCTGTAGACCCTACTTGATTTTAAAACATACTAGGTCTTTTATTGTTTCTCACAGTAGTGTTTTGTAGTTTTCCTTACAAAGATCCTTTGTGTCTCTAGTTAGGTTTATTCCCAAGTATCTGAATTTGTGGTTGGCTATTGTAAGGAATATTGCTTGCTTAGTTACTTTTTTTCTGTATTTTCTTTGTAACAATAGAGGATTTCCACTGATTTTTGAATATTGATCTTATATCCTGCCACTGTACTAAATTGGTCTATTAGTTCTAACAGGTTTTTTGTTGCAGCCTTGGGGTTTTCTGTGTACACTATCATATCATCTGCATATAGCAACAGTGTTACCATCTCTTTCCAATCTAGATGCCTCTCACTTCCTTCTTTGTTATACTGGACTAGCAAGTACTTCCAATAAATATTGAGTAGAATTAGTGACATTGGACATCCTTGTCTGGCCTCTGTTCACAAAGGGGAATGCCTTTAGTCTTTCTTTATTGAGAATGATGTTGACTCTTGGTTTTGCATATACACTTTGCACTAAGTTGAGTAAATCTCCTTCTATTACTATTTTATTGTTTTAATCAGGAAGATGTGTTGAATTTTGCTAATGATCTTTTCTGAATCAGTTGATAAGATTATGTGGTTCTTGTCCTTTGCTTTATTAAATTACACTTTGTGAATTACACTGATTGTTTTTGTTATGTGGAATCATTCTTACACACCTGTTATGAATCCTACTTGGTCATGATGAATTCTTTTTTTATACACTGTTGGATTCTATTGGTCAGGATTTTCTTAAGGATTTTTGCATCTGTATTCTTGAGAGATATTGGTTTGTAGTTTTCTTTTTTGCAATGGCTTTGTCTAGTTTTGCTATTAGGGTTATGCTTAATTAATAGAATGACTTTGGGGGTATTCCTTCTTTTTTATTTTTTTTCAAGTAATTTGAGTAGAATTCGTGATAGTTCTTCCTTGAAGGTTTGGTAGAATTCAACTGGGAAGACATCTGAGCCAGAACTTATATTAGTGGAAAGTTTTTTTATGACTTGTTAATGTCTTTTATTTTGATGGATCTGTTCAAGTGTTCTACATAAGGGAGTTGAGGCATAAATTTGCTTCCTCATATAGAAGTTATTTCTAGGGGGACAGCAAGGACAATCAATTAGCAAAAACTTCTACCTGGAAAACTTATTGGAAAATTGTTCTTATCGTATATGTTTCATTACTAATAACGACACTAAACAGCCTAGAATACATTCCATTAGTGCATTACAGAGCTCTGTTAACATAATGAACTAGATCACAATTGGAATATATTCTATTTTTTTTATTTAATACTTCAGAAATATTAATGAATATACACTTTTTAGTACTAGCTGGGGCAGCAAATCTCCTTTCCCACTGTATTAGATTTTGTCTTCAGACTTTATATTCATGGCATCCTTATATATATAGCTACAAAAAGTCAAAACTAAATGGAATTCAAAGAGAAAAGTAATTCAGCAAGATTATACACCTTCATCTACTTAATGTTGTAAAAAGAAAAAAAAGTTAATTCAACCAATGTGTTTTTCAACACCTAAACCAATTAATTAAAATATTATTTTGACAAGTAACATATACCAAATAATTTTCTAAATTTTCTTTTTACTTATTCTAGATTGAATCGTTCACATGCAAAATATGTGTTATAAACCCTAATCCCTTTGCCTGTGGCTATAATCCCACTTGAGAATGGGTTGTTTGTACTACATTAATGAGAAGGGATTAATGTAGGATGTGTTTTGTTTTCCAAACAACAATCACATTTTGCTTTAATTATAATAAATTATACAGAATTTATTTTCTCCAGCATTAGTAACAGTGATATTTTATCAATTATTCCTAGATAAACCACAAACTCCTTATTTTTTATATAAGTAACTTTCCTAGATTTTTCTTATATGTAAAGACAAGGCTGTAGATCTATTCACAGAAAAAAGAGGAATATAGATGTATTAGCTGTTAGTGTCCAGAGCTTCTGATTCTATCTTGATCACAAAACAGACTTCAACATATGCATGTCAAAAAAGTTATGGAGATGAAAGTTCAACAAAGAAATGTCAATAGCAGCAATCAAATAAAGAACAACATGTTCAACGTCTAAATTTTAACATTATAAGATTAAATTTCTCCTGTTCCTTTATTATCATATGATGAAGATAAAATCTACACTACAATCCTTGTTTGGTAAACTCACAATTTGTCTCACTCCCCCGGTAATTCTCTTAACAGTTCATTACAAATTTTGAACAAACGTGAAACTCCCACTAGTCAAAGATTAGTTTTGGGATTCATTGTAACATTCTATAAAACATATTTCTTCTTGTCACAGCTCTTCCAAATTTATTTCTTAAAAGAATTCAGTAACTCATAATTGGATTCATTGTGATAATAAATGTTATCTCTAGAATGACTTAAACAATTCCAGAGTGCCACAACAGAGATCACAAAGAAACAAAATGTAGTATTTTTACAGATATCTTCCAGGTGAACAGATGCCTCTTCAAGCGTGAGAGTTCAAAGAAGGACCATTTAAAATAGGTAGATTACTAGTGACAAAGATATTTTATCAGAGGTCAAAGATATTCAGTGATTAAATAGCTACATAAACCTAATAGCTTTTCCTTAAATTATCAAATATAAGCAGAAATGCTTTTTTAAGTCTTTTGATATTTGAGTTTTGTAATTTACTATAAGAAGAAAGAGTGGCATCCACTTCCTAAACAACATGCCTCTGGAAACTCTATGAACTCTGATAAATATCAGTAGTTGTAGAGGGGGTTTCAGACCTTTTGATCATAGGGGTCACTAGGAGTCTTGCTTGACTCAAAGGCAATCAAAAACAACAACATACGTAGCTCTTTGTTGTATAGAGTACGAAACACATGTCCATTATTAAACTCAGATAATCAAATTTAATGTTGAGTAAGGCCAAATTCAGACAGCTCTGGTGGACTAGTGACAAGAAGCTATGTTGCAATCCCAAAACACGCAGTTCGAGGCCACCAGCTACTCTGTGAGAGAAGTATGTGCAACCTCTTCCCATGTGATTGACTGCTTCTGAAAATCCACCAGAATGTCAGCTATGGGTCGATTCCAATCCTACAGTAAACAACAATAACAAAACTTATAGTTTGTCAAGTCATTCTCAGGTTTGCTTTGAGAGGCCTTCATCCATTTTCATCACACTCATTCTCAACCTTCATCACAGGAAGTTTGCAAAAGACCCCCAGCAATACATAAACATTAGGAAAGTACTCTTTTCATGTACAGAAGGGGTTCATAAATGGTGAGTGGAGAGTCTATTTCTTTTCCTCCATCATTTCACTGAATTCTTCTGTACTAAGGCCCAGTTGACAGCTCAGCTTACAGAGTTGGGTAAATCACTTGCATACATGCCAACATGGTGGTAGGTCCTTTTATTTATTGACAAAGATCTTAAATCAATCTCTTCTGAGATAAAAAGCAGTGCAGACAAGCAAGTAAGAGAAGTAGTGATATCATCCACCCAATGATTGCCTAGAGCAGAAACTTAAAAGCGACAAGGAATTACTCTAGAGCTAGCAGAAGAGAGAAGTGTTTCAAAGTCAATAACCTGAATTGGACTGCTAGCCTCCTAAATCATGAGGGAATATATATCCATTTGTTAAAAAACATTGGTTTTCTATTACAACAATGATTATTACCGTTAGGTGCTGTCAACTCAAGTAGGACACATAGCAACCCTATGAACAAAAGATCTGAACCCTGTTCTTTCCGGTGCTAGCCCCACACTTTCTGACACTCAAGAGCCCATTGCAGCAGTCACCACAACAATCCACCTGACCAAAGGTCTTCCTCTCCTTTGCTGACTCTCCCTCCTCCCAAGCATCATGTCCCTCTCCAAGGAACAGCTCCTTCTAGCAAAATGCCCAAAGTATGTGAAGTGAAGCCTTATCATGCTTGTCTCCAAAGAGCACTCTGGCTGCACCCTCTCCAAAATATATTATTATCTTGTTATTTCAGCTATCCATGGGTTGTTCAGTGTTCTCCAACAACACTGCTCAAAGGCATCAATTCATTTTCTGTCATCCTTATTCACTGTCCAGCTCTCAGGTGCATAACACACATAAGACTATGTATGGCCTGAATCAGGCACACCTTAGTTCTCAAACTGACATAATTTTTTCTCAATGATTTAAAGAGGTCCCTATGTGCAGATTGCTGGTGGGGGGCAGA